TTCTTCTCTCTTTCTCCTTTCTCTCCTTTCTCTCTCCTTTCTCTCTCTTTCTCTCTCTTTCTCTCTCCTTCTCTCTCTTCTCTCTCTCTCTCTCTCTCTCTCTCTCTCTCTCTCTCTCTCTCTCTCTTCTCTCCTCTCCTCTCTCTCTCCTCCACCCCCTCCCTCCCTCCCTCTACCCTGTCTCTCCCCCCTCTCGTTTCTCTCTCTCCCCAAGTCTATCCCTCACCCCCATCTTCCCTCCTCTCTCTCCCTCTTTCTACCCTTTCTCTCTCCCCCTCTTATTCTCTTCCTCCTGCAGCCTTCTCCCTCCTCCCTCCCCACACACACCCTGAAAATACATAAACTTCTCTCTGTGGTAAAATACATAAGCTTCTTTCTTGGGTAAGGAAAAAAAATGGGTGGCCCTAGAGGGCGGAAAACCAGAGATCACGTGGACAAACCAGGGAGGAAAGATTGGGAGTTAGAGCTTCAAAAAAGGGAGGAAGAGTGGGGAAGGAAGATAGAAGAGCTTGGCAAGATAATGGAGGAGAGGATAGCTGAAGAGTGCAGGAAGTGGGAGCTACAAGTCTTAGCAGAAGAAGCTAGGGTACAGTGCTTAGAAGAGAAACTAAAAAGCCTAAAACAGATTAGAGAGACAAATGACAAATCAGATGCGACATCAGGAAATTCTATGTCAGGCACAGACAAGGGGACGGTAAGAAACAAAGGAGATATGCCGTACACAAAGGGCCTATCAGACCCATGTGGGGCCAGGGAAAAGACAAGGAGCACACTAAGATGAAATGACAGGTCTGAAGACAATGAAGGCATGTTATATGCAGATACTCTAACAGCCAACTGCAGTAGCAAGGAACAGCTGATCATAGAAGTTTCAGCAAGGACAGGGATTGAAGGCAGGAACATTTCAATGGAAGGAACTAAAATACTTAAGAGGATGCAAATGGAGATTCAGTGGGAGGAGGAAAGGGAGAGGTCAGTTTTTGTCTACGGGCTCCAAGAAGCCGAAGGGGACAACTTTGAAGAAATAAAACAGGAGGAGGAAAATGATTGAGGGCATCATGAAAATAGGTGAGGGCGATATGACCCAGGTGACAAATTTTCGGAGAATTGGGTGGTTTGCGAGTGGAAGGAAAAGGCCTGTCTAAGTAATTTTCAAGGAAGAATCAGCTTGAACCAGGATCCTGCAAGAGAAAGCACTACAGAGGGACAAACCGGGGTACCAAAGAGTATACCTCGATCACGACAGAACACAAGAAGAAAGGACTACACTGATAGAGAGGGTACAGAGACACAAGGAGGAACGAGAGGCAATGATGAAGGTGAGCAGGACCCAGACACAGGAGGAAGGGCAAACACACCCCGCAGAAACTCCCATAGGACTCCAACTGCGACAACCCCAACGCAACTGAGCAATCTAAACCAGAACCCACACACTGTTCTCTCTGCCACCAACCCCCACATCACAAACCTCACCCCAATGCTGCCCCCTATGGGCATTCTGACCCCACCCTCCTCATCACAAACCCCACCCACACCACAGCCCCCCATAGGCCCCCACCAAGGCTCTCGCTCCCCCAACCCCAATATTCTCCAAGGACCACAGTGATAGAAAAGAAGCTGAAGGTTTGGTACACAAATGCGGACGGAACAACGAATAAATACGAGGAGTGGCATGAAAGAATCAGCGAGGAATTCCCTGACATCATAACAGTCACAGAAACGAAACTCGCTGAGACAATAACAGATGCAATCTTCCCACCGGGATATCAGATCCTGAGGAAAGATAGGAGTAGAGGGGGAGGAGGGGTTGCACTGCTCATAAAAAACCGATGGGGATTTGAGAAAATGGAAGGCATGGACATGATTGGAGAAAGGGACTACATAGTAGGTACAATTCAGTCTGGAGAACATAAAGTAGTCATTGGAGTGATGTATAACCCACCACAGAACTGCAGGAGGCCAAGAGAGGAGTGCGAAGAAAACAACAGAGCAATAGTGGACACACTGGGTGAGGTGGCAAGAAGAACTCACTCGAGCATAGCGAAGTTACTGGTAATGGGCGATTTCAACCACAGGGAGATCGACTGGGAAAACCTGGAGCCACATGGGGGTCCCGAAACATGGAGAGCCAAGATGATGGATGTGGTACTTGAAAACCTCATGCATCAACATGTCAGGGGACACTACCAGAGAGAGAGGGGAGGATGAGCCAGCAAGACTGGATCTTGTGTTCACCCTGAGCAGTTCAGACATTGAAGACATCACTTATGAGAGGCCCCTTTGAGCTAGCAATCACGTGGTTCTGAGTTTTGATTGTATAGTAGAATTGCAAGTGGAGAAGGTAACAGGAATTGAATGGGAAAAGCCAAGCTATAAAAGGGGGGACTACACAGGTATGAGGAACTTCCTGCAGGAGGTTCAGTGGGACAGAGAACTGGTAGGAAAATCAGTAAACGAGATGATGGAATATGTAACAACGAAGTGTAAGGAGGCAGAGGAAAGGTTTGTTCCCAAGGGAAATAGAAATAATAGGAAGACCAAAACGAGTCCTTGGTTTACTCGAAGGTGTAGGGAGGCAAAAACTAAGTGCACCAGAGAATGGAAAAGGTACAGGAGGCAAAGGACCCAGGAAGATAAGGAGATTAGTAGAAGAGCCAGAAACGAACATGCACAGATGAGGGAGGCCCAGTGATAGTACGAAAACAACATAGCATCGAAAGTCAAGTCTGACCAGAAGCTGCTGTATAGCAACATTAGGAGGAAGACAACAGTCAAAGACCAGGTGATAAGGCTGAGGAAAGAAGGTGGGGAACTTACAAGAAATGATCAAGAAGTATGTGAGGAGCTCAACATGAGATTTAAGGAAGTACTTACAGTGGAGACAGGATGGCCTCTGGGGGGAGAGAACAGAGGGGGACACCAGCAAGGAATATACCAACAAGTGTTGGATGACATACAAATGAGGAGGTGAAGAAGCTGCTAAGGGACATCAATACCTCATAGGCAATGGGACTGGACAACATCTCCCCGTGGGTCCTTAGAGAGGGAGTGGGTATGCTGTGTGTGCCACTAACCACAATCTTCAACACCCTTGGAAACTGGGCAACTACCTGAGGTATGGAAGATGGCAAATGTAGTTCCCAATTTTTAAAAAAGGAGACAGAAAAGAGGCACTAAACTATAGACCTGTGTCACTGATGTGTATAGTATGCAAAGTTATGGAGAAGATTATCAGGAGGAGAATGGTGGAGCACCTGGAATGGAACAAGAGAATAAACGCCAACCACCATGGATTCATGGAAGGCAAAGCCTGCGTCACAAACCTTCTGGAGTTTTATGATAAAGTAACAGAAGTAAGACATGAGAGAGGAGTGGGTTGATTGCATCTTCTTGGACTGCAAGAAGGCCTTAGACACAGTTCCTCACAAGAGATTAGTGCAGAAGCTAGAGGATCAGGTGCATATAACAGGAAGGGCATTGCAATGGATCAGAGAATACCTGACAGGGAGGCAACAAGAAGTCATGGTACGTGATGAGGTATCACAGTGGGCACATGTGACAAGTGGGGTCCCACAGGGGTTGGTCCTAGAATAGGTGCTATTTTTGGTATGTGTGATCGACATGATGGAAGGGTTAGACTCAGAAGTGTCCTTGTTTGCAGATGATGTGAAGTTAATGAGGAGAATTAAATCAGATGAGGATCAGGCAGGACTTCAAAGAGACTGGGACAGACTTGACACCTGGTCCAGCAACTGGCTTCTCGAATTTAATCCCGCCAAATGCAAAGCCATGAAGATCGGGGAAGGGCACAGAAGATCGCAGACGGAGTATAGGCTAGGTGGCCAAAGACTGCAAACCTCGCTCAAGGAGAGAGATCTTGGGGTGAGTATAACACCGAGCATGTCTCCGGAAACACACATCAACCAGATAACTGCTGCAGCATATGGGCGCCTGGCAAACCTGAGAACAGTGTTCCGATACCTTAGTAAGGAATCGTTCAAGACACTGTACACCGTGTACGTCAGGCCCATACTGGAGTATGCAGCGCCTGTTTGGAACCCGCACTTGATCAAGCACGTCAAGAAATTAGAGAAAGTGCAAAGGTTTGCGACAAGGTTAGTTCCAGAGCTAAGGGGTATGTCCTGTGAAGAAAGGTTAAGGGAACTCGGCCTTACGACACTGGAGGACAGGAGGGTCAGGGGAGACATGATAACGACATATAAAATACTGCACGGAATAGACAAGGTGGACAAAGACAGAATGTTCCAGGGAGGGGACACAGAAAGAAGAGGTCACAATTGGAAGTTGAAGACTCAGATGAGTCAACACCCCACACACAGACAGACAGACAGACACACACACACACACAGACACACACACACACACACACACACACACACACAACACACACACACACACACACACACACACACACACACACACACACACACACACACACACACACACACACACACACACACACACACACACACACACACACACCACAACACACACACACACACACACACACACACACACACACACACACACACACACACACACACACACACACACACACACACACACACACACACACACACACACAGACACACACACACACACAGACACACACACACAGACACACACACACAGACACACACAAACACACACAGACACACACACACAGACACACACACAGACACACACACAGGCACACACACAGACACACACACACAGACACACACACAGACACACACACAGGCACACACACAGACACACACACACAGACACACACACAGACAAGCACACAGACATGCGCACACACACACACACACGCACACAAACTCTGTCAAATTCACATGTTCATATTTAACCTCACCAGCTGCCATCTCCCTACCTGCTATATTTGTCTGTATGATTTTTGACTTTCAAATTGTATAGTTTTATATAATGCATGTCAGATATTTCATTATGCAACCCATTACTTTTATTGTTTTCAGGATAATGTAGATGAGACTCTAGTCAAAGAAGAAATTGTAGATACTGTGGATGACACTCAAGGGGAGATGTTGGACTCTGGAATGGATTATGGATCTATGGGTGGGGGAGATTCGAGTACAGGAGGGGAAGAACAGGGTAATAAATATGCCCATCAGTTAGATCCCAAGCATCCTCAGCCACTCCCAGAAGCAGTTGTGGAGGCGTTAGCTGGGCCTTCGGGGATGCAAGGGGTAAGTAGTGTCTCCTGCTCATGTTTGTCATGTTTCCTTTGGATGTGTTTCATTTATTCTTAAAAAATTTTAGCCACAGTATATCCATTGTTTTGTTTTATGACTTATACTCGATAGTATAGTAGTAATACCGCATTGTTATTTTTCAGTGCTTGCATTTTAGCTTAAACTGTTCTAGTCCACTTATTTATTGATGTCCACTTTAAAGTACCATGGTGTGAGTGAGGGGTTCTTTTTTTTAGGATTTTGATGTTATATCTTTCCCTGGATCAAATCCACTTTCTTCTCATTCCCCAAGTTCAGCACTTCCCCAGAATAATATAATTAAGAGCATATGCCATGTCTGCAATACATTACAGAAATTCTGTTGTCCCATTACACTCATTGATTAGTTGAGATCAGTATGACCTATATTTTATTTTTTTTATTAACTCATAGGCCATTTTCCACCAAGGGAGGGTGACCTGAAAAAGGAGAATCATCATCATTCACTCCATCACTGTATTGCCAGAAACATGCCTACACTATAGTTAAAAAACTGCAACATAACACCCTTCAGAGCACAGGCACTGTACTTCTTACCTCCAGGACTCAAGTCTGGCTAATTGGTTTCCTTGATCATTTAACCCTTCGAGGGGTTCAAGAGTTTTCAAAAACAATTTTAATTTTTTCTTATGAAATGGTAGAGAATCTTTTTCTGAAGTTAATAAAACAATAAAACTCAAAATTTGATGGAAAATTGATGAAATTACACTATTGTGAATTTTGCTGCATTGGCGATTTTGCCCACTTTGACTCCTATTTTAGTCCAATTACATTATTTCAGTCGAGCAAATTCTTAGCTATTTCGCTAGTATTTCTTCTGTTTTATTGGTAATTAGGCCAATTTCACACAAAGTTCAAAATATTCCAGTTTCAAAATAGGGTCCAGAATAAACAATGCAGGCATTCCTGGCACTAAAATAGCATTTCCTCTGTTTATTAGTTACGTTTCCAGGCTTTATCGATGAATTCCATTTTTATTTTTTTACATAAAGATCTTTTATTCATAGCAAAAAATAGAAGATTTACTGTTATGCAATATTGTAATAGTTATATAAATAGTATCTGCTCATTTGTGAACATATATTAGACCCACCAGTTGACGTGTATTGGACACATGACGTCATTTGTTTACTCTTGAACATCAGCAAAAATCGAACATTTCCACTAATTTGAGCTCAATGTCAATCCATTTTCAGTACTAACATCAATCAAAATGATCTCTATTTCTGTAATATATCTTCCATTCTATCAAATGAGACCAAGAAACTGCAAATACAACCTTAAAAACCATATGAAAATACGCCGGAAATTCGGTGTTTTAATCCAAAAACACAATCGCATTCTTTTTCTCATGTACTGCATGCTGCAGGATTTGTTCTATATGGTGCACACTTACCACATAGATGCATTTTCTCATCTAGGCCCAAATTTACCCTTCACAGTTTATGTGAGTGAGCTGAGCTCATGACGTAGATCTACGGCTTGGACCCTCAAAGGGTTAATAAATGTTACATTGCTCACACTCCAACAGCACATCAGGTCATAAAAACCATTTATCTCTGCTCCTATCTAACATGATCATGCATGCTGAAGTCCAAGCCCCCTTGCCCACAAAACCTCCTTCACCCCCTCCCTCCAACCTTTCCTAGGATGACCCTTACCCTGCCTTCCACTACGGATTTATATGCCCTCCAAGTCTTTATTTTTTTCCATCCTCTCTAAATGTTGAAACCACCTGAACAACCCTTCCTCTCCCATCTGGATAATACAGTGGACCCTCAACCAACAGCATTAATCTGTTCCAGAGAGCTTGCCGTTGGTCGAATTAATTTTCCCCATGAGGTATAATGGAAATAGAATTAATCCGTTCCTGACACCCCAAAGTATGAAAAAAATTTTTTTTTAAAGATTAAATATAAATATACATACAGAAAACAATGACAGATAAATATAAAGCACTAATAAAATGGATAAATGAACATTTAACATCACACTTACCTTTATTGACTTATCTTTACTAACTCGACTTGTTGGTGTATGACAGATACGTAGGAGGCAAGAGGAAGATAAGTTTATTATGCTTCAATATAATGCTAATATCATCTGTACAGCTTATTTATCTATCACAATTCATATAATATGACATTATAAACAATATTAATAACATAGAAACATGATATATACTCTAGAATGAATAAAATTTGCCATAATGTATGAGAGGAGTAAATGGTGTAAGTGTTATTGTTGGGTTTAACCCTTTCAGGGTCGAGAAGCCCTCTCCTAAACTCGTTCTCAGGGTCAAAAATTTTTTGTAAAAAAAAAACAAAAAAAAATTATTTCTTATGAAATGATAGAGAATCTTTTCCCGATCATAATGACACCAAAAGTATGAAATTTGATGGAAAACTTACGGAATTACGTTCTTGTGAAGTTAGCAGTCTCGACGATGTTGACGCATCGGCGATTTCGCCCACTTTGAGCCCTGTTTTCTGCCAATTTCAGTGTACTAGTCAACAAAAATCATGAACATCAAAATGGTATACAATACCGACAGGTTGGTAGGTAAGACACATAGGCAACAGTTAGACAACTTTATTCCGAAACGTTTCGCCTACACAGTAGGCTTCTTCAGTCGAATACAGAAAGTAGGCAGGAACAGTAGAGATGTGAAGACGATGTAATCAGTCCATCACCCTTGAAGTCGTAAAATTTGAGGTTGTCAGTCCCTCAGCCTGGAGAAGTTCAGTTCCACACTCAGGAACTATCTGAAGATCAAGCGACAGTGCGGAGACTTAAATACTGTCGGAAGGAGAGGTGCAGAGTAGTAACAGTAGTGAGAATGTAGCCATTGAGAGGTCAGGTCCCTCTCAGATCCAACAGTTCTCACTTGAAAGGGTGTTTTCTGTACCAAGAGGCCATGTGTTGCAGTGTCTGACAAGATGAACATCAAAATGGTGTACAATACCGACAGGTTGGTAGGTAAGACACATAGGCAACAGTTAGGCAACTTTATTCCGAAACGTTTCGCCTACACAGTAGGCTTCTTTAGTCAAATACAGAAAGTAGGCAGGAACAGTAGAGATGTGAAGACGATGTAATCAGTCCATTACCCTTGAAGTCGTAGAATTTGAGATTGTCAGTCCCTTCATCTTGTCAGACACTGCAACACATGGCCTCTTGGTACAGAAAACACCCTTTCAAGTGAGAACTGTTGGATCTGAGAGGGACTTGACCTCTCAGTGGCTACATTCTCACTACTACTACTACTACTCTGCACCTCTCCTTCCGACAGTATTTAAGTCTCCGCACTGTCGCTTGATCTTCAGATAGTTCCTGGCTGTGGAACTGAACTTCTCCAGGCTGAGGGACTGACAACCTCAAATTCTACAACTTCAAGGGTGATGGACTGATTACATCGTCTTCACATCTCTACTGTTCCTGCCTGCTTTCTGTATTCGACTGAAGAAGCCTACTGTGTAGGCGAAACGTTTCGGAATAAAGTTGCCTAACTGTTGCCTATGTGTCTTACCTACCAACCTGTCGGTATTGTATACCATTTTGATGTTCATCTTGTCAGACACTGCAACACATGGCCTCTTGGTACAGAAAACACCCTTTCAAGTGAGAACTGTTGGATCTGAGAGGGACCTGACCTCTCAGTGGCTACATTCTCACTACTACTACTACTCTGCACCTCTCCTTCCGACAGTATTTAAGTCTCCGCACTGTCGCTTGATCTTCAGATAGTTCCTGACTGTGGAACTGAACTTCTCCAGGCTGAGGGACTGACAACCTCAAATTCTATGACTTCAAGGGTGATGGACTGATTACATCGTCTTCACATCTCTACTGTTCCTGCCTACTTTCTGTATTCGACTGAAGAAGCCTACTGTGTAGGCGAAACGTTTCGGAATAAAGTTGCCTAACTGTTGCCTGTGTGTCTTACCTACCAACAAAAATCATACCTATTTCACAAGAACTCCATTTTTTCTATCGAATGAGTACAAGAAACCACCCATTTACTGATTTCAAGTATCCAACAAAGTGGTCAAATTGGCAATTTTGCCAATTTCACACAAATTTCAGAAGATGTCAGTTTCCAAATAGGGTCCAAAATAAGCAAGACAGACATTCCTGGCACTAAAATAAAAATTTTCTCTGTTCACTAGTCACGTCCCCAGGCCCCTCTTACATCTCTTTTGCTTTCCACTTTGAATTTTTATTCTCACAAAAAATAGAAGATTTACTGTTATACAGACTACTGCATTATTGTAGAAATGGTGTAGAAATGGCATAAATAATATCAGTGCACTTGTGAAAGAATATTAGACTCGCCAGTTGATGTTTATTGGACGCTTGGCATGATTTGTTTACTTTTGAAATTTGGTAAAAATTGAACATTTCTGCTACTTCGAGCTCAATTTCAAGGTACTTTTCATTATGAAACCGATCAAAATCATCTCAGTTTCTGTAATATGCCTTCCATTCTATAAAATGAGACCAGGAAAACTAGAATACAACCGTAAATACCATACGAAAATACAGTGCAAAGTCGCTGTTTTAAACCAAAAACATGGAGTTTTTTTTTTTTCTCATTATGCACTGTGTGCTGCAGGACTTTTTTATACTGTGCACATAGACCCCATTCTTTCATATGTAGGCCTACCAGCTTTCTCTCACTAGATTTGAAGGCGCTAGAATTTAGGCGTTCTAGTACATCAATAACCCTGGTGCATAAGCCGTACTAGTACATCGGAAACCCTGAAAGGGTTAAGGGCTGCCACTGAGAGAAGCCATGTTGGTGGCGGTGGAGGATTTTGCCGGCACCGCCATCACACTTAAACAATGTATGTAATTTATAAATAAGAAATATTTACATTGTAATTTATAAATAAGAAATATTTTAATTTTTATTTATAAATAAGTAAGTTTATTCAGGTATACACAAATAGTTA